GACTGTCACTACTATAATCGTCACCCGAAAATTATCACCGCCATCACTATTGTCACTCATGACTACCACCACTACCACAGTTGTCATCACCTACCACAACCATTACCATCTCCCACCACCGCCACTCACCCCTCATACAACCGGTACTTAAATTATTTTCTTTGTTTGTAATTTAATTTTGGATATAAATACAAATATGTTTATGATTGACAATATTTTTTATTACTCCTTGAGTCTATATAATAAAGTACAATATAAAAATGACTTTTGTTTTTCACAATTGAGATAATTTTAAATTTTACTTTAAAGTTAATCCAATGACTAATATTAATTCTTTAAACTTAATAAGAAAAATAGACCCTTTAAAGATTTGTCTGGGGTGACTTTTTTAAATTATTTCTAGAACTAATGACTTTTCATAAAAAAAATTTTTTATAAAAAAAAAAAGTGATGTTTTAAATAATTTATTTTAATTACTTCTAAATAAATCAAAATTAGTTTTACCACTTAAACAAGTAAGTAAAAGTAAAAAAAAAAAACTTTTACTACTTTAAAATCACTTATTTATAAAACACTTAACCACCATCATTATCACCACCATCGTTGTCACCCCACCACCACCACCACCACCCCCATAACCCCACCACCGTCTTTCTCAACACCACTATCACCACCGCCATTGCCACCACCCAGCACCACCGTAATCATCCACCACCGATTGCTACCACCGTCACCCACCGCCACCACCCACTACCATCATCATCTCATTTTTATATTTATTACTACTACTACAATCATCCCACCATCAATATTGCCCACTGTCACCACACACCACCATCATTGTTGCTCACCACCATCCACTATCACAACTCACCATTATTTGTCATCACCCATCACCATCCGTCGTTGCCCACTACTATCACCCACCCCCATCACACCTACCAACATCATCTGTCATCGCCCACCACCACAGCCACCCACTTTCACCCACTCCCACCATACTTACCACGACTCACCACCACCACCACCTTTGTCACCCCACCACTACCACGGTCGTCGTTGCTCACTATCAAATATGTTTAAGATTGACAATTTTTTTTATTACTCTATGCCTGAATATGCGAGTAATAAGTAGTATTTATACATTGTGTGCGAGAAATAAAACTAAGTATATCTGATTCTATCTAAACTTTATATTAGTCGAATTATTGGGCATTACATGTCCTCTTTTATGCAATTTTTTATCAAGTCAGATGGGGACACTATGTGATATGTTATTAATGGATCAAATTTTAATTCGAATTCAATTCCATTTAGCCAAATATAGATTAAAATTTTAATTTGTTTATCCAAATCCGATTAAACTTGTTTAACCAGATTTGGATACATATAAATTTGATCTTCTATATATCAGATTTGAATCAAATCTTGATTGGTTCAAATTTGAATCCAATTAAAAATTTGATTCATTTAGTCGGTGAATTTTACAATATTACTCCCGGTCTGTATTTGTTAATGATTGGACATTCAGTCAGATAACCCAATCTGATCCAAAATTTTGAATCAAAATAAAATTTCATAAAAAAAATAATAATTTTTTTGAAATATTCGTTAACTTTTAACCTAAGTTAACCAACCAATCATATGTCAATTTCATTAATAATCCAACTAAGCATGTATTTATATACAATAATTTATTCCAATTTAATAAATCTAACTGGAATTTATTAAATTCAAGTTAGTCCCTACAAATACATACTAACTGATCTGACATTAAAAGAATTAATGGAATCTAGACAAAGAGCCCTCGTTCAAGTCATAGATCCAAATTTGGTAAGGAGCACATCAAATGAAAATTTTTCGAACTTAGAAAAAAAAAACAAACTACACACATCAAACGCAAAATGGTAAAATGGCAAGGGACTGATTTGAGCTCTGTCATAGCCTCATCCTGAATAGGCCAATNTTCACCCATTCCCACCATACTTACCACGACTCACCACCACCACCACCTTTGTCACCCCACCACTACCACGGTCGTCGTCGCTCACTACCAAATATGTTTAAAATTGACAATTTTTTTTATTACTCTATGCCTGAATATGCGAGTAATAAGTAGTATTTATACATTGTGTGCGAGAAATAAAACTAAGTATATCTGATTCTATCTAAACTTTATATTAGTCGAATTATTGGGCATTACATGTCCTCTTTTATGCAATTTTTTATCAAGTCAGATGGGGACACTATGTGATATGTTATTAATGGATCAAATTTTAATTCGAATTCAATTCCATTTAGCCAAATATAGATTAAAATTTTAATTTGTTTATCCAAATCCGATTAAACTTGTTTAACCAGATTTGGATACATATAAATTTGATCTTCTATATATCAGATTTGAATCAAATCTTGATTGGTTCAAATTTGAATCCAATTAAAAATTTGATTCATTTAGTCGGTGAATTTTACAATATTACTCCCGGTCTGTATTTGTTAATGATTGGACATTCAGTCAGATAACCCAATCTGATCCAAAATTTTGAATCAAAATAAAATTTCATAAAAAAAATAATAATTTTTTTGAAATATTCGTTAACTTTTAACCTAAGTTAACCAACCAATCATATGTCAATTTCATTAATAATCCAACTAAGCATGTATTTATATACAATAATTTATTCCAATTTAATAAATCTAACTGGAATTTATTAAATTCAAGTTAGTCCCTACAAATACATACTAACTGATCTGACATTAAAAGAATTAATGGAATCTAGACAAAGAGCCCTCGTTCAAGTCATAGATCCAAATTTGGTAAGGAGCACATCAAATGAAAATTTTTCGAACTTAGAAAAAAAAAACAAACTACACACATCAAACGCAAAATGGTAAAATGGCAAGGGACTGATTTGAGCTCTGTCATAGCCTCATCCTGAATAGGCCAATTAATCGCGTCAGATAAAGTAAGTTTGTGTCTGGTCTTAATGAGTTTGTGTCAAAAAAATATTTCATCCGTATCCAATTTATTTATTAATTCTTATCTAACAAGTCGTGTCATATCGGGTTCATGTTGTAAATAAAATGTGTATGACCAATATATAAACAAGTCTTGTTGTGTCGAGTCCACTAGTTTACNTTACGTCAGATAAAGTAAATTTGTGTCCGGTCTTAATGAGTTTGTGTCAAAAAAATATTTCATCCGTACCCAATTTATTTATTAATTCATGTCTAACAAATCGTGTCATATCGGGTTCATGTTGTAAATGAAATGTGTATGACCAATATATAAACAAGTCTTGTTGTGTCGAGTCCACTAGTTTACAAAATGAGTGATTTAAAAAAAACCTAAATTTTTTAATTTCGTGTTGTATTAACGAATTGTATCATATTTTTACACCTCTAATCCCGCGACATCATTTTGCCTTTGTCTGTAATCAAGTCAGTTGAAGCAAGTGTGGTTATGGTGTTCTATAATCCTGACTACAGACTTGGCTTTCCCCTCATGCGTNAACCTAAATTTTTTAATTTCGTGTTGTATTAACGAATTGTATCATATTTTTACACCTCTAATCCCGCGAAATCATTTTGCCTTTGTCTGTAATCAAGTCAGTTGAAGCAAGTGTGGTTATGGTGTTCTATAATCCTGACTACAGACTTGGCTTTCCACTCATGCGTCAGTAAAGTTTCCTTCTCAATCTTTTGTAGCTAATCATACTGTTCAATGGTCTTTGGATTGAATTAGTCCTCTACTATGGTCCCTGCCCCTTGCCCCTTTATTTCACACAATCCAAGTCGCAATCTAAACATCANCACTCATGCGTCAGTAAAGTTTCCTTCTCAATCTTTTGTAGCTAATCATACTGTTCAATGGTCTTTGGATTGATTAGTCCTCTACTATGGTCCCTGCCCCTTGCCCCTTTATTTCACACAATCCAAGTCGCAATCTAAACATCAGGATATATTCCCAGCTATCTACAAGGACCACAACAATCCAGTAAGGAATTTTCTTTTTTCTTTTTTTCTTTCTTTTTTTTCAACGGTCAAGAGTGTTCGAACTAATTTACGCGCTCTTCGATCAATCATCTCTCCGGTCCAGTCTGTCAAAGACAGGTCATTCACACTGGGACTAGGATATTCGTGAGGGATAAATTCTTCATTGTCTGATCCTAAGGGGTTGTCAAGATTTAAACTCAGGACGTTTGAGTTTACAGCTTGTCTCTGTTACCACAAAGAGAGAATTTTCTAATCCTTCCATCCCATTTACAGGAGACAGAAAGACTCACCATGAAATTCCATACAGGTATTACACAAATATTAGAGGACACCATTCTTCACTAGGTCCCAACAAGGCCAAATGAATGTTGAAATATATAAGTTGACATGATATGCTACTTTGAAATTATTATTAGAGGCCAAATCTTCTTTTTTAGAGCACTTAATACATAACAAGTAAAGCTTCATGGGCCCTTTGCAATATTGTTTTGGCAATATACATGCATACAACATACAAAGAATTCCGATGTCAATGTAACAAGCTTAATTATGAGACTACATCATAAACACCATACATGCAGAAGATAACTGAGCTTCATATGGGAAAATCTAATACGTCTAACATACCAGTACAGAAAATGTGGGCAGCTCTAATCCATGATCAAAAGGCTTGATCACATCAGAAGGTCTTGATCTGTGAAAGCATGCAAAAAATACGATCAGATTCCGTTTATTCAAACATCTCATCTGTATAAAGGATTTACATTGATGTTATTCTCTACAAGTGTTAGTGGGGTATAAACTTAAAGCTTCTTTCTGCAAATATGTGTGGCTCTCTCTCTCTCTAGTACACTACTGCACGAACCTCCTTTTCCATTGTCATGGCTCGTTACTAATGCACTCAATGATCCCACCAATTATGCCATTTATATATCTATTCCCTTTCGTCTCCTTCCCAGCAACAACCAACATATTTACCCCTTTCTATATTTTCTGGTTCTGTAATGGCTCTTCAGTATATTTTCTTCTTTATTGTGTTATTGCTTTCTCTTTTCTATCCTTGTCGAGCCACCATAGATAACCAGTTTCAGTTCTTCACGGTCATGAAAAACTCTCTCTCAGGTAACTCCTTGACTAATTGGGATGTTAGTGGAGCAAAACATTTCTGCAACTACACAGGAATTGGCTGCAATGATCAAAGGTACGTTGTGAAGATTGACGTATCTGGGTGGTCACTATCTGGCAGTTTCCCTGACGATGTATGTGCTTACTTGCCTGAGCTGCAAATTCTTCGTCTCAGCCACAACCTCCTCCGTGGTAACTTTCCTCAGACCATCACCAACTGCTCTCTGTTGGAAGAGCTGAACATGAGCTCTACATATCTTACAGGAACACTGCCAGACTTATCGCCAATGAAGTCCCTCAGATTACTTGACCTGTCATACAACCTCTTTTCAGGTGACTTCCCTATATCAACCACAAACCTCACCAATCTTGAGGCGGTGAACTTCAATGAAAATAGTGGTTTTAACCTATGGCAACTGCCAGAGAACTTTTCCAGGCTGACGAAGCTGAAGTCCATGGTCTTGACTACATGCATGGTGAGTGGTCCAATCCCAGCATCGATAGGAAACATGTCATCGCTTGTTGATCTTGAATTGAGTGGGAATTTTCTAGTGGGCAAGATTCCAGTAGAGCTTGGGCAGCTGAAGAACTTGCAGCAGCTTGAGCTTTACTATAACCAACTTGATGGAGAAATACCTGAGGAGCTTGGAAATCTAACTGAACTCAGAGATTTGGACATGTCTGTGAACAAGTTGATAGGCAAATTGCCGGAATCTATATGCCGCCTTCCAAAACTCGAAGTCTTGCAGCTTTACAACAACAGTCTCCAAGGAAAAATTCCGGATGTCATTGATAACTCAACAACATTGACCTTGTTATCCCTTTATGACAACTTTTTGACAGGCAAAGTTCCACGAGATCTAGGGATATCATCACCTCTGACTCTTTTGGACTTGTCAGAAAATCATCTGTCTGGAGAACTACCGGCAGCAGTGTGCAACGGAGGTAAACTGTTATATTTCCTTGTCCTTCAAAATACATTTTCTGGCGTACTACCTGAAAGTTATGCAAAGTGTGAGTCTCTTATCCGGTTTCGAGTTGATCATAACCACTTGGAGGGAGTGATACCAGGAGGGCTTCTAGCTCTTCCTCGTGTTTCAATTATTGATTTGGGTTACAATCGCTTGAATGGTCCAATTACCAATATCATTGGAAATGCTAAGAACTTGTCGGAACTATTCATACAGAGCAACAGGATTTCAGGTGTTCTACCTTCTGAAATCTCTCAAGCTATCAATCTGGTAAAGCTTGATCTCAGTAACAATCTCCTGTCCGGCCCAATACCTTCTGAAATCAGCAACCTAAAAAAGCTCAATTTGTTGCTATTGCAAGGTAACAAGTTCAATTCCTCCATCCCCAAGTCACTTTCTTCACTAGAATCTCTCAACGTTCTTGACCTCTCTAACAATCAATTGATGGGAAGTGTCCCAGAAAGTCTTGGGGAACTGCTACCAAACTCCATGAACTTTTCAAACAATCTGCTTTCTGGTCCCATCCCTCTCCCATTTATCAAGGGGGGATTATTAGAAAGCTTTTCAGGCAATCCAGGTGTTTGTGTTCCTGCCTATCTCAAGTCTTCAGATCCCAATATCCCCATATGTTCACAACCTTACAACCGTAAGAAGATAAACTGCATCTGGGTGATAGGAATTTCGGTAGCGATCGTTATTGTTGGAGTCATCTTATTTCTAAAGCACTGGTTTAGTAAAGAAAAAGCTGGAATGGAACATGAGGAGACCATGTTTTCTTCCTTTTTCTCATATGATGTCAAAACCTTCCATCGTTTAAGGTTTGATCAACATGAGATCATTGAAGCCATGGTTGATAAGAACATAGTCGGGTATGGTGGATCTGGGACAGTGTACAAAATTAAGTTGAGGAACGGGAAAGTTGTAGCTGTAAAGAAGCTCTGGAGTGGGAAAGCTAAAGATTCTGTTTCTGATGATGAATTGTTCCTAGACAAGGGGCTGAAAACTGAGGTTGAGACTCTAGGAAGCATAAGGCACAAGAACATTGTGAAATTGTATTGCTACTTCTCCAGTTTGGATTGCAGCTTGTTAGTTTATGAGTACATGCCAAACGGAAACCTTTGGGATGCACTTCACGGAAAAAAGATCCTTTTGGATTGGCCCACTCGTCATCAGATTGCCTTAGGGATTGCACAGGGTTTGGCTTATCTTCACCATGATCTGTTGCCACCAATTATTCACAGAGACATCAAGTTGACCAACATCCTACTGGATGTCGAATATCAGCCAAAAGTTGCAGACTTTGGAATAGCCAAAGTTTTGCAAGCAAGAGTGGGGAAGGATTCCACCACTACTGCTATCGCAGGAACTTATGGTTACTTGGCTCCTGGTAATTTTCTGATCACTCAGCTCTAATATAATTTCAAACTAATATCTGTGGCACATACATATATGCTCATGATTCATTAGGGTAATTAGCACAAGCACGCTTAGTAGTTTTCCTTCAACATTGGTAGAAATCAATTCTTTTAGCAATTGCACACAATTTTGTAAAGGATTCTGCATAGATCTGATTTTGATTTGGTCGCACATTGGCTCTCTATGCATGCTCTCAAGGATGCACTGTGATTCCACAAAAATGAGCATCCCTATATGTGCAATATATATTATAATGTTTTAGAACAGAACTTAATTACTATTTATATTCTTTGATTAAAAATTAGGCCTTAAATATCAGCCTTATGTTTCTTTCATTATGCATGTGATAGAATATGCATATTCTTCCAAGGCAACAACCAAGTGTGATGTCTACAGCTTTGGAGTCGTACTCATGGAATTAATAACAGGGAAGAAGCCTGTGGAGGCAGAGTTTGGAGAGAACAAGAATATCATATATTGGGTTTCAACCAAAGTGGAGACGAAAGAAGGAGCTATAGAGGTCTTAGACAAGCAAGTGTCAGGGTTGTTCAGGGATGAGATGATCAAGGTGCTCCGGATTGCCATCCGTTGCACATGTGGCACCCCGGCCCTTCGCCCAACTATGAGTGAAGTCGTTCAGTTGTTGATTGAAGCAGATCCCCGCAAATTTGATTATTGCCAGTCGTCAAATAAGACCGAGGAAACAGCAAACATCACCAAGCCGAAGAACCCATATGATCTGTGATTAGAGGTGTTTTATGGGGATTATGTAAAGTAGCATAGGGTCTATAGAACAGTACTGGCTCTCAAACTACTGAAAGACTAACCAAGAAAAGCAGTATATAGAGAAAAGCACTTTTTTTTTTCTCCTTTTTCTTTTTCTTTCTTGACATATTGTAAGCATTTGAGGAATTCAACCAAATAAAACTGCTTTATGGCAAAGCATCTATAATTTTCATTGACCCACCACAAAGGAAATAATTCTCTAACTTTTGAGAATTCTGTTTTTTCCCTCTTTATCAAGCTCTTTATTTCATGAGAGAGACCCAAATTAAAAAAAAATGCTCCAAAAGGCAGAGATGTTACTGGGTAGTGGAAGACCTGATTCGCAAGTGACTTCTTTTTTTATCAAAATGGGTACCTGAATCTGAACATAATTTCATCATGATAAGTTTGTAAAGGGTCCTCTTCAGCTCAGCAATCCATTAGAAAAGAGAAGTGGGCAAGAGGGACCCAAGGAAAGCATAAGGCTCATTTTATCTTTCATATTTATCTTACTCTCTCTTTTAAGTTTGATTGTTTTTGTTGGAATAGAAGTGTGAACAAGGATGAAAAAGAACAAAAAATTTCTCACCGTAGATGGTGTGCCATGAACCTCCACTCACTGGCCAAGATATGATTCGATTAGTTAAAGGGTTTCAAGACATTGGATTCTTCCAGTTATATTAGAAGCATAGCTTTCATATATTTTTGTACTAGCTCTACACTGCTACACTGTCTAGGTCAAATTATTGAAAAGAATGAGGTCAACTACTAGTTAATCAACTTGCAGGTATGTCAAATATTTCCCAACGCATATCACGAAACAAGCATAAAACACAATGGACATGTAAACGTGTTTGCGTTGTGTATGCAAAAATGGATCCACTCACACAAACTTTATGACTTGTGAGTGCAAGCTAGGATCCTCTCTAAAGAATAAGATTCATGAAGACAAAGATTTCTTTTGTCATGGTGGAGAGTCCATACGTAAAAGTAAGTTGCTTTTCAAAAAACGAATAGTTCCTGCACAAAATGGACAGACTAGGCCAAGAGAGCTCAAGTATAGCCATTTTCTCTTTAGGATAGGAGTGTCTTCCAAAATTTACAATGAACCCAACAACGATCAATCTCTCAAAAATGCAATAAATCTATTAACCAGTGGTTTGAGTGGAAAAAGGAATCTTATGATAGCTTTGGCTGAATTATATAAAGAGGAACACTAGCATAAATCCCGTTTTCACTGCATGAAATGATAAATCAGAATTAAACAACAAATTGGGAGCATTGACAAGGCCAATCAATTACATATGCACAAGACAAATGTAATAATGATGATTAACACAAATATGGAGTAAAAAAATAATAAACACAGCAAGTGCTAAGTTTACCTTGATGAATGTAATGAATGTGTTTTCAAAGGTCATCATAGTGGTGCACTCACATTGAAGTGTTTCAACCCACTTAAACAATCCCACAAACAGGTGGTGTGCATTACTCTATTCTATTTTTTTTCCATCTAGGCTGCATTACTGGCGTACACTATTTATGAAAGATAAAGAACACAAGAAGTCAGCATCGATTTTGGCTAATTACATGAAACGTCTGTTAAAACAGTAAAAAAAAACATTGTTTTTTACTGTGTAAAAGATGGTAACCTCGAAATATGATTGTTGAAGCTTTCAAGCATCAAGACGGGGACTCCAGAGTACAAAAATGACGGCAGTAAGTTGGGCAAGAATTATACTTTGTGCTCGGTATGTTTGAGCGTACTGCAAAGCCTATAACATTGTGTCTTGTGTCTTGTGGATTAAAGGCAAGCTCCATCGGACAAGTAGTATTCGAAGTCAACAGCTATTGTTGAATATGTTGAATATTCCGTAAATCAAACTCTACTTCATAATCTACTCGAGAACGATATAAAGTCAAGAACGACCTTAATATCGTTACCACCAACTTCAGAGGGTGGTAACAGCTATCACAGTGTACGAGTAATGTAATTTATACCTAAAAATTTGAGTTGATATAATAATGTGGTTTAATAAGAATTATTGGATCAACGCTAAGTTCTACTCCTTGAAGCGTATAACTAATCTAAAAGTCACAGTGAATTAGGTCAACAAATTATGTTAGATTTTTAGATTTTAATAGCATTGTTCTTAGTGTATATAATCTGTTACCCAAAAATAACGCTAATCAACTTAGACTTGCCTAGTAAGTCGCCTATTATGATTTGAACTGAGATAGAGTATGTCCTTAAAAAAAATAAGAGTGATTATCCTTTAGAGGGTGACTTGTCTTGTAGTTACTCACTTAGAAGTTCATTTGAAGTTGTGAGATAAAAAAGTTTAATTTACAATGTGACATTTTGTTACTCGTTTCGTCAATGTCAATGAATGATTTTTGTTATAATAAATAATACAAGCTTACAAAAAATTATATTATAACATTTTTAATACACTAATTGGTGCATTCGTGCATTGCACGTGAAACATTTTCATATTAAAGTTTCCAATTTGAAAAAGATTGTTCGTTCTTTACACCACAAAAATTTAGCCTCCAACAAAATTCGACTAAATATTAAATTCATAATTGCAAAAGGATTCAAAAAAAAGTAGGCTTAACCTTAGATTAGTTTTTGACACACACATGGACACCACAAATTTGAGCATGTCTTATCAAGGACTTGAATATTTAAGTTATTTTCTATAAAACAACAATAATTAGGCTTCTAAGGATGGTATATAAATGTAAACACAACCATGAATACAAATATCAACATTATTAGTCAAGGACCAAACTGGTGATTTCTTTGTATATTCCAATAACTTCTTTTGATATATGTTTGTATATATTACATAGACATATATTCGACTACAGAAGTGTCATATACAATAATACAGATAGTCGTAATGAGATTTTTTCCTATCAATTCCCTTTTTTCATAGTTATATTAATGCTCAACAGTCAAACAATGTACAATCAAGTTTCACATCCTATCTGAAAGCCCACAGAAGTTTTACAGTGTCTTTATTTTTCTCAAGTTGTTGTCAACAAATCTACTTCAAGTATCAAAAATAATTAGATTAATACAATTAAACAATCACAAAACCATTGAGCTATAAATCACATGAATGTAAATAGAAAACAATGATCACAAATGCAATATTAACATGTTCTTTGGTTAGTTATAAATAAAACAGAGCACTTTTTGAAGAAAAATGTATATCTCTTACAAGAAACACAGAAATTCAGATCCTAAAACCATAAACCTAGAAACAAAAAGGTAAGATTTGATGACCACAAAAAAAGAAATCCATAAACCTAGAGTTTGAGCTAGTACAATAATATAAGACAGATGAGGAATTGAAAATTAAGAGGGAAAAAATTAATAATTCTGAACTGTTAAATTAATAATAATGTATATTATATAGCTAAAACCTAAAAAAAATTGACCTTCGGATTGGATGAACTGGAAATGTAACATTATGAGTGACTGATGAATTTCTTTAACTCATACTTGACATATAGAATATATGTAGCATTTATAAAAAAATACAAAACCAGCGCAATAGCCCGAAAGTGTAAACAACTTTCGAACAATATTTGTATTTGTCATTAAATGAAGAAGATAATATGGACATTATTCAAATTATCAAGGTTATTTTAGTCAAACAAAAGTTTTTCACTTTTATTAATATTTTATAATTGTATAGATATAGATCTATATCTATATCTATATTACTAATAAAAGTACTTTAATATAAAAAAATTTTGATTCACTATTTTACCCTCATAAAGAATTAAAAATGTCACTATATCCTTCCACACTTAATATCTAAATTACCATCATATCCTTATACATTTAAATCTCTAAATTACATCTAAGATTACTTTCAATTATATATTTTCTATGTATAAATGTCAATTTTTATGAAACTTTTTGAATGATTATGTTACTCTTAAAAAATACATACATCACTTTAAATTTTAACAAAATATTCAAAAAAACCTTCAAAAATTCTATCAATATAATATTACTCACCTCATTTATAAAGATAATATCATGACTATATATGTATATTTTATTTTTCTTCAAAATGTTTAACCCTTTTATTTTTAAGATAAAAAATAGTGTATTATAGCTTTACATAATTTTTATGTCACAGTAAACTTTTCAGTCTGAGTTAAGCTTTTATGTGAAAACTTGATTTTTTTAACAAAAAATTAATATGCTTTATAATATATATTATAGCATTGTATATTAAATTTTATCTCAATTGACTTAGATAATCCTAAATGCAGTAACGTTCCAATATGATTGATTTATTGATAATTATTTTTATTTTATTCAATAATTTATAAGTGGAATTTTAATCAATTAATTTTTTAATTATTTATTATCTATTTATAAATGTCAATTTTTATAAAACTTTTTGATTGATTATATTATTTTTAAAAAATATATGCATTGTTATAAATTTTAATAAAATATTCAAAAAAATACATTCAAAAACTGTATCAATATAATATTACTCATCTCACTTATAAAAATAATATTATGACTACATATGTATATTTTATTTTTCATCAAAACTATTTTTTAAAAAAATAAAAAATAAGGTATATATAATTTTTCATAATTTTTTAGTTACAGTAAACTTTTAAAGTGTTTTAAGATTTTATGTGAAAACTTGAATTGTTTAAAAATTTTAATATGTTTTATAATATATATTATAGTGTTGTATATTAAATTTTATCTCATGTTAAGGTTCTAATACTAATTTTAAATATAGTAAGGTTCTAAGACAATTGGTATATTGATAATTATTTTTATTTTGTTCAATGATTTATACGTAGAATCTTAATCAAACTAATTTAAAAAAATTTAATTTTCAAACATCACTAAAAAATACTTTCAATTACAAAATTATAGAAAATAAATAGAACTTTAATTATTTATTTTCTTTTTATCATTTTTTTTTATTAGAATAACAAATCTTGAAAATATACAAAATTTTTAAAAATTCTATAATGGAGCATGAGCGATGAAAAAATAAATTTGATAAATTTTGAAATGATATTTAATTAAATTACACATATAACAAATATTTATTTATTTATTTAAAAAAATTAGTCATGTGCAATGCTAATTCAATAATAATAACACATTATATTATCAAA